TGCATCCATTGGGTGTTGTGTTTGGAATCACCTGCTACGTTTTAAGGTGGTAAAACAAATTGCTTGTATTTATTCCTTTCTACACACTTTGCAGATTACTTTTTCTGCCCTTCACGCATTTAATCTGTGTGCGGTCCGGCGGGGTGACAATCATCCCGTTTATGCTTTTTTTTTTTTGAAAGGCAGTCTGACTGTCAGCCTTTCCCACAGCCCTTCCCCGCTGTACAAGGAGACAGTACTGCGCTATGACCACAGGAGAAACGAGGTCCAGACTCAGAGAGCTTTTCTGCGTCCCACCTCAGCACTGACTTCACCTGCACTCACAGTCGCCTTGCTGCGTCATGTGCCGCGGCGCGCTCTCCTCCCGCTGCAGGCAGTGTGGTCGTTCGGCAACCGACCGGAGGACGCGCCATCACGTAAACATGTAATCAGTTCAGTGTTCATTTTTGCACACCTGAACCAGGTCCGGATAAGTTATGGTTTTTTTTCCCCCTCTTCATTTGCGCTCTCAGCCTCGCTGCGTCACCATGTGCCGCTGCGCACGCTCCTCCCGCTGCAGGCGCGCCGTGACGTAAACATTTGAACAGTGGTCTGGATAAGTTATGTCCCCCCCCCCCACTCTGCCACGCTGCTTCCTGCTTCCTGCTTCCTCTGTTTTGACTCCAGCCGGTTAAGTCATCAAAAAGAATTGCGCGGTTGGCCAGTAGACTACAGATCTCTATCATAGGACAAATTTATAAAGTTTCTACAGTGTATCGTTTACATTGCGCATTCCTACCGGGACAGATTTGTGGACAATTAATATCGGGTCTTTTGATGAATTTTTTTGACCGGAGTGTAGACTCGAGCAGGAAAAATCCCCATGTAGTAATGTAAGCCTCTATTCCAGTGGTCTCCAACTCAACTTACCCGAGGGTCGCTGGAGGTAGAGTCTAGGTGAAGCTTTTTTGATTGAATAAAAAAATTTTTTGATTGAAGAATAAAGAAACTAGAAGCACTCGGAGAGTGCAAACCTCGGCCAAGACCAATTTCCCCCATCCTGTAAGAGTTAATGCGCAAAAGCAGAGATGGAAACACATTTGCCGAATAAGTTCTGACGTAGCGAACATTTAAGCAGCAGTATGCACGGGATTTCTTCCCGGTGGAGTCCAATGTGAAAAAAAACCCCCAAAAAACAAAAATCATACTCGTCACCCAACGTTATTCATCGTCAAACTGGTGTCGGATTAAGCTCCTAAGTTTTCATTAGTCACATTTCACCATGTAAAACATCTGTTTTATCCCCTTGTTTGAGTTTGTAATGGTTTGACTCTCTTTATAAAGTGCTTCCTGGCTCCCCCCGTCTCCAAACTTTGAGGCCCGGCAGCTCTCTGTTTACAAGCCTAGTAGCGAGAAACTGTTTTGATTGGTTGTTTCAGAAATGTGGTGTGTTTGGGTAAATGGGAAAAATAGGTTTCATGGTGCAGTCACGCACTTCCTGGTCACAAAACGTTCTCTAAATGTGCACCAAATGTGTAAAAATGCGCACATTTTGGCAAAAAATTATTCATCATTAAATGTGGTTTTAACATTACTATTATAAAGTTTGAAGTCCGTGCTGTCCAATCCAGCTCACTGATTTTTACAGAAGCTCTGTGAAAGCATCACAGCTTTGCCGATCTCAGAGTGTTAAAAGAAAAAAATTCCTATATCCGCATCGTGATCCGGAACATCACCAACATTTAATGGTGAATTCTTTGGCCCAGTACCCACATGTGGTAAAAATGTCATGACGATCTGTCCACAAGTTTTTGAGTAATGTTGTCCACAGACAGACATACATACATACAGTACATACAGTACATACAGTACATACATACAGTACATACATACATACAGTACATACAGTACATACATACATACATAACCTCGCCCTTGGAGGAGTTAACTAAATTAGCTCCATACTCACCCTGCCCTCCAATGACACTACAGTCTGGTCTTCTCATCGGCTGTGGCTATTTACTGGGCATATTAGCATTATGTGTGACAGAAGAAAGAGGAAGTATGTGTAATTCAATATGACACCCAGATAGCTCAGCAGTTTTTGGAATATTGAAGCTGAAATTTTGTGCATTGGTAGCTGAGAGCAAACAATTTTAAAGCTATTTGAGTTACCATGGCAGCACAGTAAGCCCACAAAAACCCAAATAAATCCAATAGGAATGAATGGAGAGTGCTCAAAATTCTTTAAAAACTGAACATTCTTAGAAATACAGTACTGTATCTCATGAATCGCCCAACATAAATCAATGAAACTCAAATCATCATTAGACAGTCCTCTTTCATTGTCCAACAGTTTTGTGGGGCAGCTGTGGCCGAGTGATTAGGGGAGTCGTCCTGGTACCGGAAGGTCGCCGGTTCGATCCCCCATCCAGCTGTTTCAGTCGTTGTGCCCTTGGGCAAGACACTTCACCCGTCTTGCCTACTGATGGTGGTCAGAGGGTCCGGTGGCACCAGTGCATGGCAGCCCCACCTCTGTCAATGTGCTCCAGGGCAGCTGTGGCTACAGTGTAGTTTGCCATCATCAGTGTGTGAATGGGTGAGTGACTGTGAGTGTAAAGCTCTTTGGGGTCCGGAGGGACTTGATAAAGCGCTCTATAAGTTCAGTCCATTTACCATTTGTCCTGCTCAGATTCAAAATGGTGGTCCTAACAACTAAGGAATACCACAGAATTGCTGGAAACCAGCACATTTTAAATACGGAATGACAATTTGGTGTGACAGCAGCTGTCAGGGATCTCTAGAACAGAAATATAATATATAATTTCTACAGGAGTCTTTATTTCAAGCTTTAGTTTTACAAATTAAAGAAATATTGCTCAAAATTTCTGTAAGCAAAATATTTCATGAACCAGTGCACTTTTATTTTTCAAAAGAAGTACAAAAATATTTATAACTCAGTAAATTTTTGACACATCAAGTTAAAATTTGGTAAGATAGTACTAAACAAAATCTCTAACACATGCTTAAAGCTAATCCAAAATCCAAGATGGCTGTTGAAGCTAATTTGAGAAAATGGCTCTGACCCAGCCTTTTTAGTCATGTTGAGCTGAACTTTTGTATGGTGGTTGCTGACAGTAATCTCCAACATATATTAAAGGCAAATAATAATTTAAAATGGCTGCCATGAATAAAATGGAAAAAATGAGACCAAAACTCAGGCCTTTTTTTGCCATATTGGGGTGAAATTTGGTATGGTTGTCGATGACGGTGATCTTCAACACATAGAAAACCCAAATATTAATTTCAATTATATGCCACATGGCATGCCCTTTCATAGTTACTCCAGAATTATTCTAGTTATTACGGTACTGCTCCTAAATGTCATGCTATTCCTAAACAAAACATTTTTCATATTTTCTGAATAATGTAATGTATTTAACATGTGCACTTCTCTGAAAAGTCAGTACAAAAATAGTTATTTATACATTCTCAGTGCCTATGATATAGCTGTGGAGCATCTCCCATCTGTAGTTGGCTCTTATTGGCCAAGAACCAACACCACCTTCTTGTTTTCACGGTTTCTGCTGAGAATAAAAGACAACCACAGCATCTTTTGCTGATAGATAGAAAAAAGGTTAAACTCTTTTAAAAGTTTATTAATTTACTTTGAAGCAAATCACACTGTTAATAGGAAAATCAATAAGTGATATGTAATTTTTCTAATATATGCCCAGCTCAAAGATGCTTGAAGTGTCACACTTGAATGTGGTGTTGTAAAAAAATAAATGTGTAAAATCAGGGCTTTTTGTTTCTTTTTCCCCTTCAGACCTTGCAGCAACAAGAGTGCAAACTTCTCTACAGTCGCAGAGAGGGTCAGAGACCAGAGAACAAAAACAAGAACAGATACAAGAACATTCTGCCTTGTGAGAAATTAACAAACTTCAATGACTAGCTATCTCTGAATTTTGTGACTTTTAAACAACTTGTCTTTGCTTCTGTTTGCAGTTGACACCACACGTGTGAAACTGGTTGATGGAGACCCCGATGAACCAGGCTGTGATTACATCAATGCCAATATCATCATGGTACTATCAGCTAACATGAAACACTCACTTCATCCTCAGTAAACACACACATAATTTCTTTCCAAACGTGTTGAGATGTAAAATCGAATTAGCTCTGCAGCTTTGACCAGCACGTGTTGTTTGTTGGTGTGTGCTGATGTAAGAATATACCTGACCCTAAAACTAACCTAGACTCAATTTACAACTTGGTCCTAAACCTACCCCTCACCCACCCGCCCAAAATCAGCCTCCGAAGTCATAGGGTCCGGGCTTTGGTTCCCACAAGGAGCATCCAGTCCCCACGAGGCTGCATTTTCTTGAAAAATCATCCCCACCAAGTATCAAAAACTTGGACGGACACACACAAACAGCCGTTGTTTTTGTTAGAACTCGGAGTACGTACCCAGGGTTTGATTTCTTGACAAAAACTACAATTTTTATTTTTTAAGACTATTTTTAAGAATACTCTGTTGTTAGTTTTTTAAAGAAAAGTAATTTGAGTAATTCTCAAAACAACATTCTTGTAGTTATTTATGTTGTTCAACCATCAATTTATACCTTTTCCAAATAAAATATTGCAACTTTTTACTTCATTCTATTATCACTTTGATAGAAAGATTAATCGGAACGACAGAAGAGTTATTT